CAGCTTTCACGAAATGGGCATTTATGATTTACCTGCGACGATCTCGTATATCAAGAATACGACATCGCAACCATTGTATTCGTACATTGGTCATTCGATGGGTACGACTGCATCTTACGTGATGGCAGCGGAACGTCCGGATATTGCTCGAATGGTGGGAGCGATAATTAGTCTCGCGCCTGTAGTTTTTTCGGAACATGCAAAAAGTCCATTACGATTCATCGTTCCTTTTGCGGACGAATTTCAGGTAATATACTGTTGGGAACTAAATTTAATATTATTATATAGCAATTTAATACATCAAACAGTCAAAAGACATCTAGTGTTAATTTATGTTGTCTTATAATTTTACGCTGTGGTCTGTCTCAAAAGTAATGAAATTATTTTTGGCGTCCCAATCAGAATTGTCGGAGGGTGGATCCGTTGGTCGAGGTCTTTAATGCGGGATGTCAATTGTATACAGTCTGATCCTTCTCAGTTGCCACCGAGCTTTTCTAGTAATCGATACCGTCAGTAAAGTGCAATGTAATTTTTGTGTTTTCTCGAAAATTTAGCAGTCTCGAGTAGCGATTAAATCCTGCGTGAAACACAGAGAAAATCTGGTTTTTTCGAAACGTTGGAGATGCAGTTAAGAACAGCTTATGGGAATGCTGCTTAATATATCTTTAGAATTTGATCGCGTAACGCTTCTCAAAATACAGCAAAGTCTGTGCTAAATTTTCGCCCGTGACATGACACAAAAATTACAATGTATTTTACTGAATCGACTATTAGAAAGGTTTGGAAGCAACTAAGAAGGGTCAGATTGTATACCTGACGTCCCCCATAGGCCCTGTTCAATGAATTCACTTTTCGACAATTCTGATTCGGTCCCCAAAAATAATCTCTTACTTTTGGGACAAATTATGTTATATATATGTATATATATCTTTGATTATAATTTTAATAAGATATTCTTTAACGAATTAAGTTTAAGAATATCTTAAGATCGAAGGTCGCTAGTATAAATCCAGTTAGAATTATTAAAGTATGTTTGACAAATATTTATTCATTTTCAAATAAACAATAAAATTACAAATAAATTATATCGCGATTAAGAGATCCGGTGATTATAGATAATAGCGCACCTCTTCGGCCAGGACGAATTACTGCCACAAAATGATGTATTGGAATTCTTGGCGAAAATCGGTTGCGACATATTCCACTTTGAGGAGGTCTGTGTCAATATAATATTTTCGTTGGTAGGATTCGACAAAGAACAATTCGATTACGTAA